CTGTCAGGTGTCCCTGTGATGGACTGGAGACCTGTCAGGTGTCCCTGCTTCTTGCACAGTGACTGCTGGATATGGGCACCAGTGGCCCAATAAGAAGAATGGGATAATGAATGAATGAATGAATGGACGGACGGATGGATTTGTACTGTGATCTAAAACCCAAACATGTCAGCGACATTATTTAAGCAGAATAAAACCCACTGAGAAGATCCAGGAAGTCTGACATCATAAGTTTTTAGTTTTCTACATTTGTCTTGAAATCTAGCTGGGTTTTTTTGTTTGTTTTGTTTGTTTTGTTACCTTTCCCTTTTAGCCATCCTATTTGTTAAAAAAAGTAAATAAAAAAAAAAAAACCTGCAGTATGACTTTTTATAACTGTTTATTGTTGTTGCTGTTGTCCATTGTTGTCATCATTCTTTGTTAAATCAGGTCTCTCTTGTAAATGAGTCCTTGAGGCTCAATGGGATTTACCTGTAGAAATAAAGGTTGATTGATAAGTCACAAAGTGATGAGAAAGGGACAATCATTTGGACGAATTAAAATCATAACAACGCAGAAAGTAGCAGATGCAAAACAGCAAAAAAGTGTTTTTTTTTTTTTTGGGGGGGGGGGGGGCATATTAATCTATATTTTCCATCTAGTTTGACTTTTAGTGCCCATTTCATTTGCATGATGGTTTTAGATCATGCAGTTGATTATTTAAAAATTAATTAGCCGATAAGGACATGTCATTTCCCACTTGTCCTTAACATCTCATCCAGTTTTCTCTAGAAATAAGACCGTTATTCAATTCAATTCAATTCAATTCAATTCAATTCAATTCAATTCAATTCAAAAATACTTTATTAATCCCAGAGGGAAATTATTTGTTGTTGTAACTCGTTATCCTCATTTCATTAAGAGATGTTACAGATGCTGATGCTGTAGACAGGAAGGACCTCTTGTAAAGGTCCATCCCACAGTGGATCCTAAGAAACTGGCTGTAGATGCTGTCTGATCCGTCCACCCAGACTCGGCTGGCCTCTTGGTTCACCCGGGCTGTAGGACCGCCCCAATACCGGGCAGAACTCCTCCCAGAGCGATGGCCACTCCTCCCAGCAGTCTGCCGAGCTCCTCGTCGCTGCGGACAGCCAACTGTAGGTGCCGAGGGACGATCCTGTCCTTCTGCTGTCATGAGCCGTGTTTCCTGCTAGTTCCAGGATCTCAGTGGTCAGGCACTCGAGCACTGCTGGCAGGTAGATGAGAATGCATCCACAGAACATCCTTTTCAACCCATCTGAGATTTGGGGCTGTAGTTGAGATATTATTTGAGCTTTTGAGATGTTAATCAGCTGTTGGTTGTAGAAAACTGCCTTGTTGCCATGGTTACGCATCATAACAAATGTCCAAAACTAAAAAAGTTTCAGTAAAAATCCTTCCAGCTGCACAGCATCTGATACCAGAGGAAACAATCATCCAAAAAATGTGATTTACATCCAGAAAAAGAGGAATTAAAGTTTCCAAAAGCAAAATCTCAGAATGAAAGTAACAGAGCTGCTCCGACATGCAGCCACCTGGAGCGGCGCAATGTTGGAGCAGCTCTGTTCACTGTAATGTATGTTCACTTCCTGTTATGTTCACTTCCTGTTATGTTCACTTCCTGTTATGTTCACTTCCTGTTATGTTCACTTCCTGTTTGTTGGAGCTGGATCAGAGCCAACATGAGCAACATCGATACGAGCGCCATGGGATCCATACCAGAGATTACTCCGGTGCACGTTCTCTAAAGACATTATATAAAGTAGACATTATATAAAATAGACATTATATAAAGTAGACATTATATAAAGTAGACATTATATAAAGTAGACATTATATAAAATAGACATTA